ATCCCAATCCCATCCCAATCCCATCCCAATCCCATCAAATCCCAATCCCATCCCAATCCCATCAAATCCCAATCCCAATCCCATCCCAATCCCATCACAATCCTGTCCAAATCTCATCCCAATCCCATCCCAATCCCATCAAATCCCAATCCCAATCCCATTATCCCATCCCATTATCCCAATCCCATCCCACCCCACCTCACCCCATCCCACAATCCCACAGGATCCCACAATTCCACAATCCCACAATCCCACGGGATCCCACAGGATCCCACAGGATCCCACGGGATCCCGCCATCCCGTTATCCCATCCCGGCCCTCCGGCATTCCCACCTTTCCTCGGGAATGCGATCAGCGACGTCTCGGAGCCGCCCTGGAGCCGGCAGTAGCCGTCGATGAGGTCGGCCATGTTCTCCGCCTCCGCCAGTGACGACGTCCGGATCGCCAGCGACTTGGGAATTCCGGGAATTCCCATCGATCCCGCTTTTCCCTCACCCCCAATCCCGCTATTCCCGGCCACCCAGGACAACGCAAAGCATTCCCGGCACCGGGCGGGAACGCTCCCAAGTTTTGGGGAGGACACGAGCGGGAAACGGAGCTCCCGGCAAATCCCGGGAAATCCCGCTCGGCATTCCCGGGAATTCTCCTGACCTGGGGGTTCCCGCTGAGCGCCAGCTGCAGGAGGGCCTGCCCGTCCTCGGCCGCCGAGCAGCGGATGGATCGGATATCCCGGAATTCCGCCAGGCAGGTGGGCTGGGAAAACACGGGGAATCCGTCGGGAATTCCATCCGAGGTGAGCGGGATCGGCCGTGTCCGGAGCGATTCCCGGCCGGAATTCCCACCTTGGAGTCCTTGGCGGTGAGCTGGCGGATGCCCTTGGGGCCGATGACCAGATCCACCGTGATGTTCCATCCTTGCTGCGCGCGCACGGAGCGGGAGAGGCCGGGAATTCGGGATCAGGAGAGGCCGGGAATTCGGGATCAGGACCGGCCGGGAATTCGGGATCAGGAGAGGCCGGGAATTCAGGATCAGGACCGGCCGGGAATTCAGGATCAGGACCGGCCAGGAATTCGGGATCAGGAGAGGCCGGGAATTCAGGATCAGGACCGGCCGGGAATTCGGGATCAGGAGAGGCCGGGAATTCAGGATCAGGACCGGCCAGGAATTCGGGATCAGGATGATCCCAAAGGAGTGGGAGAAGCCGGGAATTCGGGATCAGGATGATCCCAAAGGAGCAGGAAAGGCCAGGAATTTGGGATCAGGATGATCCCAAAGGTCCCGTCCTGTTTCCGTAAAATCCCAACGCCGTCCTCATCCCATCCCATCCCATTATCCCATTCTGTACTGTCCCATCCCATAATCCCATCCCATTATCCCATCCCATTATCCCAACCCATCCCGTAATACCTCCATAACACCCATCCCATTCCCACCGAACTCCACCCCACCTCATCCCAAATCCCAAATCCCTGACCCCAAACCCCAAATCCCAAATCCCCAAATCCCCAAATTCCAAATCCCCAATCCCCAAATCCCAAACCCCAGATCCCAAATAATCCCAAATAATCCCAAATAATCCCAAACAATCCCAAATAATCCCGGGAATGTCACCCACGGCGAGCTGGCAGTGGAAGCTCTCCTGCTCGATGGGGTCAGCAGGAACTTGAGCACGCACTCGGCAAATCCCAAATCCCCAAATCCCAAATCCCAAATCCCCAAAACCCCAAATCCCCAAATCCCAAATCCCAAACAATCCCAAACAATCCCAAACAATCCCAAACAATCCCGGGAATGCCACCCACGGCGAGCTGGCAGTGGAAGCTCTCCTGCTGGATGGGGTCAGCAGGAACTTGAGCACGCACTCGGCAAATCCCAAATCCCAAATCCCCAAATCCCGAATCCCAAAACCCCAAATCCCCAAATCCCAAATCCCAAACAATCCCGGGAATGCCACCCACGGCGAGCTGGCAGCGGAAGCTCTCCTGCTGGATGGGGTCAGCCGGAACTTGAGCACGCACTCGGCAAATCCCAAATCCCCAAATCCCAAATCCCAAAACCCCAAAACCCCAAATCCCCAAATCCCAAATCCCAAACAATCCCAAACAATCCCAAACAATCCCGGGAATGCCACCCACGGCGAGCTGGCAGCGGAAGCTCTCCTGCTGGATGGGGTCAGCCGGAACTTGAGCACGCACTCGGCAAATCCCAAATCCCCAAATCCCAAATCCCCAAATCCTGAATCCCAAATCCCAAATCCCCAAATCCCCAAATCCCAAATCCCAAACAATCCCAAACAATCCCGGGAATGCCACCCACGGCGAGCTGGCAGCGGAAGCTCTCCTGCTCGATGGGGGCGCAGGCGCCGAGGGTCAGCAGGAATTTCAGGACGCACTCGTCCTCGCGCAGCTGCGCAAACTGCTGGAACGTCTGCTGGATCATCCGACGCAGCTGCCGCGGCTGCCAACGACAACAGCCGGAATAACAACAGCCGGAATTACAACCGGAATTACAACCGGAATGGCAAAAGCACTGGGAATTACAACAACAACGGGAATGGCAACAACAACAACCGGAATGGCAACAAAAACAACCGGAATGGCAACTAGAATTACAGCCACAACACTGGGAATTACAGCAACAACGGGAATGGCAACAACAACAACCAGAATAAAAACAACAACAACTGGAATGGCAACAACAACAACTGGCATGGCAACAACAGCGGGAAAAACAACAACAACAACCGGAATGGCAACAACAGTGGGAATAACAACAACAACCGGAATGGCAACAACAACAACAGGAATGGCAACGACGGGAATAGCAACAGGAATAACAACAATGGGAATAACAACACCGGGAATGGCAACAACAACAATGGGAATAACAACAACAACAACAACCGGAATGGCAACAAAAACGGGAACAACAACAATAACAATGGGAATGGCGACAGGAACAGCAACACCGGGAATAACAACACCGGGAATGGCAACAACAACAGGAATAACAACAACAACAACAGGAATGGCAACGGGAATAACAACAACGGGAATAACAACAGCAGGAATGGCAACAACAACAACTGGAATTACAACAACAACGGGAATTACAACAACAGCAATGGGAATGGCAACAAGGACGGGAATTACAGCAACAACAACGGGAACAGCAACGGGAATGGCAACAGGAATAACACCGGGAATAACAACACCGGGAATGACAACAACAACAGGAATGGCGCCAGGAACAACGCTGGGAATAACAACAATGGGAATGGCAACGGGAATAGTGCCGGGAACACAGCTGGGAACACTGGGAATAACAACACCGGGAATGGCACCGGGAATAGCGCCGGGAACAGCGGGAATAATGCTGGCAACAGCGGGAATGGCAACGGGAACAGCAACGGGAACAGCGGGAATGGCAACGGGAACAGAGCCAGGAATAGCACCGGGAATAGCACCTGGAACACCGCCAGAAACAGAGCTGGGAACAGCACCAGGAACAGCAGGAACAGCACCGGGAACAGAGCCGGGAACAGCACCGGGAACAGCGGGAACAGCACCGGGAACAGAGCCGGGAACAGCACCGGGAACAGCACCAGGAACAGCAGGAACAGCACCGGGAACAGAGCCGGGAACAGCACCGGGAACAGCGGGAACAGCACCGGGAACAGAGCCGGGAACAGCACCGGGAACAGCACCAGGAACAGCAGGAACAGCACCGGGAACAGAGCCGGGAACAGCACCGGGAACAGCGGGAACAGCACCGGGAACAGAGCCGGGAACAGCACCGGGAACAGCACCAGGAACAGCAGGAACAGCACCGGGAACAGAGCCGGGAACAGCACCGG